TGGCAGTTACATGAATATGAATGGAATGAAAAATCGCAGGCAAATATTTATGTAAGATGAATGGTGGGTTTTTAAAGGAATTAAATGGAATGCAAAAATAAATAGTATAACTAAAACTATATAATATTATATGAAAACCTAAAATGTATATAACACTAACTTATATGTTAAAAGAAGAAAGAAAATGTCGTTTTTAAAAAAAAATATTATGAAAAAATCTAAACAAAAACTTTAGATTTTAAAAGCATAACAAAATATTTGTAGAAAATATGAAAGTTAATTTGACCACTTCCGATTATTTGGCTAATTAGATGCTAAACTGGTAACATAATTTTAAATTTAATATTGTTTTTTAATTATAGATAATTGTATCCCTTCTATTTATGAACGTTTTTTCTGAATGCTTTTTAACATTTTTCTTCTATCATTTCTTATAGCTCATGGGATTTAATGGGATAAATTTTACTTTTTATTCCATGTAAATGGTAACTTTTTTATGGGATGCACATGAATGGTCTATCCAACTTAATTTTATTCCAAAAAATCGTCAATCCAGTTGCAGCCTCAAAGTTTTGAAGAGTGTAGGCAGATGCTGGACTAGCAAGAATCTTAAATTTTGTTGTTACAATTCTCTCTATAGCAGCATTAATTAAAAAACGGAAACACATTTAGTAATATTGTTCCATAACATTTTGATGTGTCATAACATTAAATAGATTCATTTCTATTAATGATATAAGGTGGGTACCTTTGATTATGGCCTTAGCAAATTTTCATATCAATTTGTAATTTATACTGAAGGTGAATGTTTTACATTCACACCTCTTAAATGGAATACATTCACACTTGTTAATAAAACATATATACCATTTTTCAAGTAAGAGTGAATTTGTTATAATAAATTAAATGTTGGGTACATATAGAAGTGAAAATTTGAGAGTTTGACTGCTCTAATTACCATTCTTACAAAATAAACACATATTGTTGAGAGTGAAACAATATGTAATTGCGAAATGTTAACATGCTATCCTATTTTGAAACGATAAA